TCCAGTCTTTTGCTGTGCGGGAAAAAAATGACGCGAGAAATGTTGATGTTCGAGCGCGCATTAATGAAACCTGCTGCGTGTGGCTTGTCCTGGCTGATATGCGTGTTGCGGGTTTGATGTAAGATGGTTGATGCAGGATTGAACTGTGAAAAAATTTATGGTAAAGACAAAGAGAAGAAATGCGCCGACGAAGAGCGAGCGATGGAAGATTGGATAGTAATTTTAGTGATGTGACGCTGATGTCGTATGAATACGAAGAATGAATGAAGCGAGCTGCACGGTTTTGAACTGATTCTAGAGCGCAGATGAGGTATGCTTGGTGCGGGTCCCAGATGGCGGATGCGTATTCCAATTTCGGTCGCACTAGTGATGTGTAGGCAAGTAATCTTACCTGCATTGGAGCACTTTTGAGGTGACGTTTTAAAAAGCCTAAGGTTTTGTTAGACGATGAAATGATGTTTTGGACATGCGTACGCCAGTTCAGATCGCTAGTCACGGTGACACCTAGGTATTTATAAGAGTTAGTCAGTTCTAGGGGTAAGCTGTTGATTGTGTACGGAAACATGAGCGGATTATTGCTACGCGTAAATGACATAGTTTTGCATTTATTTACGTTTAGTGTCATTAACCAAGTGGTACACCATTTCGAAACGTTAGTAAGATCGTTCTCTAAGGTTAACTGGTCAGAGGTGTTTAGTATTGTGCGGTAGACAACGCAGTCATCTGCGAACATACGTATATTACTGGTTACATGCAAGGGTAAGTCGTTAATATAGATTAAAATAGTAGCGGGCCAAGGACGGAGCCTTGAGGGACACCTGATGTTACTGGGATGGCAGTAGACAGGTGGTTATTTACAGCGACGCGTTGTGATCGATTAGTAAGGAACTCTATTATCCATTTTATGACGGTGGGATGTAAATTTAGTTGGGAAAGTTTAGCGAACAATCGTTGATGAGGCACCTTATCGAATGCTTTAGCGTAATCAAGAAAAACGGCATCAGTTTGCACGTTAACGTCGAGGTTAGTATGAATGTCATGCAAGAAGGCTGCCAGCTGTGTTTCACACGACAACCCCTTACGGAAGCCGTGTTGTGAAGGGTGAAAAAAATTATTGCTGTCGAGAAAATTCATTATGTGGGAGTAGATGACATGCTCCATGATCTTGCAAGGGACGCTTGTTAGGGAGATGGGGCGATAGTTAAGTGGAGAGTTTCTATCGCCTGATTTGAAGACCGGAACGACCTTCCCTATCTTCCAGTCACATGGGATGATTCCTGAGGAAAGGGACTGGGAAAATATTAGAGCAAGAAAGAGCGAAGCACTCTCTTTAACATTTTTTAGAATTTTGGAATTGATACCATCCATGCCCGCAGAGGATGACAATTTCATTTTTTCTATTATAGACAATATTCCATTTGCGCAGAAATTGATTGCTGGCATGTCATGATTACAATTAAAGCCAAGTGAAGGTATGCGGGAGTGTGTGCTTGGTTCATCAGTAAAAACTGTAGCAAAAGAAGCGTTGAATAGATTCGCACATTCCCCGTCAGTAATAGCTTCACCAGATTCAAAGGTTAGTACAGTGTCACGCGGTTTGTCAGCCTTAAGTGTTTTCCAGAACTGTCTGGGATTAGTCTGCAGTAGCTTGGGTAGGTCTGTGTTATAGAAGAAGTTTTTTGCTTTGCGCAGGGCTAAAAGATAATTGCGGTCAGCCTCATAGTACCTATCCCATACACTCGGTTGACCAGCACGTTTGGCAGATCGGAATAAACGTTTCTTTTTATTTTCAAGGCGTTTTAGATTTTTAGTAAACCAGGGTTTGTTGCAGGTGCTTGTGAAGCTGACTTTAGGTATGAATTTATCGGTTAGCTCCGTCAGTTTACCGATAAAGCGGGTCCAATTCGTATCTACTGTGTGTTGATGTAAAGTTGCTTGGAAAGTGTGGAAGAATGCGCTAAAAGCTTCGTTTATTGTTTCGTAATCCCCTCTGTCATATAGATGGATCGTTTTTTTGTAGGTTTCTCGTTTAAGCGGTTGAAAAGAAAAAGTGGCGTGAATTGTCTTATGGTCACTGATTTCGGGTAGATAGTGAATGCGTGACAGGCTTTCAGGATTGTTGGTTAGTATCAGATCCAGGACACTGGCTGTATCTTGCGATACACGTGTTGGCTCTGTGACTAGTTGGGTCATGTTGAAGTTTAGGCAAATATCAAGAAACGCATTAGCTTCACCTACACCCGTAGATGAATGCACATTGCTGGTGCGCCATTCTATTTGTGGGAAATTAAAATCACCGAATAAAAGTACGTGCGCGTTTGGATGAGCAGACGTGAGCTGGCACATGGCCTGATTAAGTTGGTTGCTAAAATTGGAACTAGCACGGGGTGGTCGGTAACAAACGCCCAGTACAACGGACTGAGGACGTGCCTTAATAAGTACCCAGAGCATTTCTAGCTCTGTTTTAATATGTACGACTGAGCAAGATAATTGCTCGTGAACAGCAATGAGTACACCGCCACCACGAGTAGATGCGCGGTCATTCCTGTACAACTGGAAGTTTGGTAATTCTGACAGAACTTCGTCATCACGGATGTCATCAGTTAACCACGTTTCGGTAAGTAATAGCACATTGCTTTCAGAGGATGATACAGTGCTAGATATAAGTTCCCGTTTGGGTAGGAAACTGCGAATGTTAGTGTAAATAACAGAAAGTGAAAGAGTTTTGCTAGTAACCGCAACAGCGGTCGTTTTTTTTTTCCCGGTGGCTTGATTGCTACGATAGTTCTTTGACGGTGTTTGATTCGGCGTCGAAAATGTAGCGCTTCTGATTCATGTGCAGTGTTTTGAAGTGCATTGAAAATGGCTTGTTGTTACTTCTCGCAAAAGCAATTAGTTGTTTTCTAGCATTTTGGACTGAGCGTGAGAAGTCTTCACCTATGCCGTAACTTGTCCCCTTAAGCTTGCGACCATTCGATAATATTGCAGTTTTTGTCTTGTGCAGAGCAATCTTCACGATTATGGGCCGGGAGCGTTCAGGTGAATGTCGACCGAGACGATGCGCGCGTTCGATATCTCTTGGTTCTAAGTGAACCTGTAGGTTGTCCCGGCAAAGATTCATTACTAGCCGCTCCGATTCAGAAAATGTTTCAGATGCGGAAGGGTCCGGGATACCGTAAAATATTAGGTTGTTTCGCCTTGAGCGATTTTCAGCGTCATCAATACGGGCTTCTAGTGCAAAGATTTTGCAGGAGGTCTGCTCCGTGTTAACGCGCAGGACTTCTATTTCTTTTCGAAGTGGTACCAGAGACTGATAATGACTTTCAAGGTCTGATAATCTTTTGTTCAGTTCGCCAATTGTTTTATCGGTTTTACCGAGCTGAGACTTCAAGCCCTGTACTTCTGCAATTAGTTGTGTTTGACCTGTAGACAGCTTACGCAATTCAGCAAGAAGGTTCTCAGAGATATTTGAAGGGCCAGGGTTAGTTTCAACATCTCCAGCTAGAATTAGTAGTGCACGAATTACATGGACACACTCGGCAATAATAACCATACAGCAATGCGGGCTCGGCAGCTGTACCAGAAAGTAATTACCAGATCTTTTCGAAAAGACAACGTAGGGCTCACCAACCTGCATAGCGGGAGCGAATTGATTAGTGATCCGTGCAGTGGCACAGACACCAAGCCCACAGCGCTCCGTTGAAGGTCCTTGTTCTTTTATAGGTGTCGGGCTCGTGGATGTCGACGATGATGCAACCGTCCAGGCTTGGTTGAGCTCAGCTGCCCAGAGTCCCTCTTCTGGTCGAGCCAGGCATTTGACGATAGGCAGAGGGCATGCGCTGCCTTCGTCGCTTCCAGGACAGCTGAAGCCATGTTCCGCCGGCGCTACCGCATGCGCAAGCGCAGGTAGCAGCAGATGAGCGATGACGTAACGGACCATCTGCATAGCGGGAGCGAATTGATTAGTGATCCGTGCAGTGGCACAGACACCAAGCCCACAGCGCTCCGTTGAAGGTCCTTGTTCTTTTATAGGTGTCGGGCTCGTGGATGTCGACGATGATGCAACCGTCCAGGCTTGGTTGAGCTCAGCTGCCCAGAGTCCCTCTTCTGGTCGAGCCAGGCATTTGACGATAGGCAGAGGGCATGCGCTGCCTTCGTCGCTTCCAGGACAGCTGAAGCCATGTTCCGCCGGCGCTACCGCATGCGCAAGCGCAGGTAGCAGCAGATGAGCGATGACGTAACGGACCATCTGCATAGCGGGAGCGAATTGATTAGTGATCCGTGCAGTGGCACAGACACCAAGCCCACAAAGAGAGTAGTATATTGGCAAGTCGGGATTCAGGAATCACATAAGTGAGTCCAAGGATTCACAGTTTGTTCTTAGAGTGCATCAGAAGTAGCGGTAAACACCTACTCCTATAGCATATGCTTTTCAAGCTGTTTTATGTGTCACTCGTAGTCTTTGATCGTTCATCAAACAGTTGTTGCATGCTAAAGACGATGGGATACGCTGATCTCTTCTTATATGCTACGAGAAACTTGAAGTCGTCGCGACAATTGTTCACCAACGGCCGCGCTACACTAGATTTTAGAACACATATGCACACCCACGGACTATATGTCGACTTCTCAAATATTGGTTAAAAAAAACGCTCGTAAAAGAAGTTACAAGGATTGCTGTTTCTGCCGTTTCCATAACTTTGCCCAGGAGATTCTCTGAAGTGTACAATGAAAAGATAAAAAGACATTTATGACGAAGAATGTACGTCGACGAAGAGCAGTTCGCAATAGGTTTGAAATGTGGCGATCACATGTTTCCCGGAAGAAATCGTATCACCTTCAGTAAACTTAAATTGGAATGGTCTGTGCAGGTCCACCATGGCTCGAGCAGTACTTTTCGTCCTTGCGGTTATCGTTGCCGTCCTGGCCGTTGAAGCAGGTACGTGATTCTCGCATATAAAACGACTGACCGATTCGATCGTTCTTTAATACCTGCCGTACTTCGGTCTGCTGCAGCCGTGCTGAAGGACAGTCCGCGCACCGCGAAGTCATCGGCCGACGCACGGGCGGCAGAGGCGGCACGTCGCGAACGCCTGGTGGACGAGATCCGTCGGCAGCAAGAGCTGCTCGAGCTGTCGGCCGACCACCTGGGGGACGACACCGAGGAGCACCGCTTCCGCAGGCTGCTCGAGAAGTTTGTGTACGCGCTCAACGTGCGGACCATCGTTGGTGCTATTCGCGACACCGTATGCTCGCCGTTTGTACCATGCACGTCTCTCTGCGCACGATCACGACTAAAATGTCTCTGTCGTCTATCACACAGGCGTTTAAGCCAGAAGTAATCGTCGATTGTCTTAAGTATCGGAGTCTATTGTCTCTAGAATTGTAGCTGCAAACATTTTAAAATTAATCAACAATTAGCGGAGTTGTAAGATACTGTCACACACTTCAAGTGCTTTCTCTCTTCTGCCATCCAGACGTACGTGCTGGAAGCTACATAGGGAGGACTTACTCGTTGGAAAGATCCTACGCCACGCGCACTTCATTAACTTGAACGCGTTATGGGATAACCACCGTTCTCCTCAAGTCCAGGAGAAAGCCAGTTTTGCAACTATGTAAGTTTAGCAGAGCACAGAGCGCGGCGCCTGGCAAGTGGAGGCACTCCATGGCAAAAAAGCACATTTGGTACGAACGCCGCTCTTGGTTTATGCCAGCTGTCGACCAACAGAGGCAATGTAGCTGCTGTGTGACGAAAACTATGCTGCATACCAGCCTTCCAAGGCTCAGGAACCAGTGTCGTTTGTTGCCATCTGGAATCCCGTTCTTCAACCTTGTGTTATTCATTCGGGATTATCAAAGACGATCGGTTTTCTTGGGATACTTTAACACAGAAATGGTCACTACAATATTCGCAGATGCTTTTCAACGACACCTATCATAAAAACGAATACTATATAACGTTCTAGCAATTTTACATTCCATGTAAGCTCTTACAATTCCAGAAACCTGAAATGTTTCCAAAAAAAATCAATTTCAAAGACAACAATAAATGGGTGTGAGTGGCATCCTAAGATCCGTATGATACAAGTACTCCCACAGAAGACCTGGCACGCGCCCGATTAAAGAGATTGGAGTGGGCCGCTAATATAGGACAGGGACGAAAATTACGAGGCGTTGAGCGCGGCCACGCTAAAAGGAGTGGGCAGTTAAAAAAAATGTGAAAGTTACAAGACATATAGCTATTCATATTCCTACTAATATTAGAAGCGAACTCGCCGTCTATATACCTCGCCTGACATAAATGTCCAGAATGAGATATCATAGACAAATGGTAATAATTCGAATACCTTCCGATTTCCCATGTGTGTAAGCTTCCCTTAATTTTGCAGGCAAGTGTCGACAGTTGTCTGACGTTATCTTTCTTTTCAAGAAAAGTCATACTCGCCTAACGGACAGGGTGCGAGGGAGAGCTATAAAAATGATGGAAAAGTATAGGCTTGTCAACCATAAATATGACATCCGGCTCGCAGGCCTACGCGAAGAGAATGGGAAAGGGTAACCAACTTTATGGGATCAGCAGACTGTGGCGGCTCGGCCGAATGTCACGATGTCTCTTCATGTGCTAGCGGTATATCTGTTCATATGCATATTAACTATAGCGGATGTTAGCGGAACCACAATTGACGTAGTACACGTTTGGTACACTACCTTCTTCCCCGCAAAATACGTAAGCGCTCTGCCGCTCAAGCCACCAATTGGCTTTGGCAGGCCTAGTCACATGTACTGTTTTATTTAAAGAAATAAAATGTATTATTATTATTATTATTATTATTATTATTATTATTATTATTATTATTATTATTATTATTATTATTATTATTAAACGCAAAAGGAAGCCAAAGCGCACTAGCGGAAGATGTACGCTTGTGGTTCACATGTGCGTGTTTATTTTTTCTTTGGCTTACAGATTACCGGAGAAATCACGCCTGCCCACATAATCGAGAAGACTCACGAAATTCTCGGCGAGGCATCATCGGTAAGCTGGATTGGCATAGCCAGAGTGGGGAGTGGGGGGGGGGGGTCAAAATTTCTATGAAAATTTTCAGTTTTGCTCGTGCAAAATATACGCAGTTTGCTGGTATAGAGTGGCAGCAGCAGGCAAATGACCGAGTTGACTGATGGAACATGGGAGAGGCCATTTGTTCAGTGGTGGGCGTAGTCAGGCTGATGATGATGATGATGATGATGATATATACGTACACATAAAAACACACTTACGAAGATAGAGAAGGCGTGGCTAACCCCTGTCCTCCCTCCGAGAAAAACTTCTCCCTACGCCCTGGCAAGTCGATCTCTCTATCTCGGTCATACAGTTTCTTGAGGAACAGATTAACTCGAACATAAAAACAGGTACTCAGAAACAGAGACCTCGTTAAACGCTTCGTATGGTCCGTCAAATTGGTGCAACGCGAGGTTCCTTTAGGTGCTGCAGAATTTAAGGACTTGAAAATAACAGCGCTGAATGATAGTGCTTGAAGAATCGAATAGATAGAAATCCCGAAAGTTAGGTCATCATTTCATTGCTACATTTCGCATTCTGATTCATGGCTCTTAACGGATATTTCTTTGGATGGTTTCAGCTTCCGTTTCATGCTGCGCCAGATATTTCTTGCCGCTAACATTCCGACAAGAATAATTTATCGTGAAATGAATAATACGGCTGATCTCGTTTTGGTGTCAGAACTCAGTGATGTATGCAGAAACAAACAAACGAACGAACAAACAAACAAACAGACACACAAACAAACAAACACGTGAAAGTATAATTAGGTATATGACTCACACGGCGAACACTAAGTCAAGACAACCTAAATTATTCACGGCAGTGGGCAGAATAAATATTTCTGCATAATGGGTTCTAAAGATAAGCATTTAAGATTTCTACTGCGGTCAACGATACTTGTGAACGCTGACTTGTGGGCTTTAAAAAGGCGTTGAAAAAAATTTGACTTTCGCACTACATATTGCAGTGATGTAGAGATGTACAGATCTATACTGATGAAGAATCGACGCCTAACAGACAACCCTCAAGTAGCCCAGAGTGACCATCATGCACAGCCATTTCCGCTGGCTAGGCATGACTCATGAAAGCCTGAAATATTCAGTTCGTTTGAATGTTGGCATCACGGGCAAGAGGTAAATAGCTCGTTGTTCTCAGTTATATGCCTGCATGTTTCCAATGTCTTAGTATTTTTTTATTATCCTAATAGTTGTGCATGTAATGTACAGTCGCGCTCTGCATGAATCGCAGCACGCTGTCCGTGCTCCAAATGGTGCGAACCATGCTAAGTGGCACCTACACTGAAAAAGTTTGGTGAAATAAACTCTGAATTAGAGGTACTTTTTAAACCAATTTTATGTTTGTCGGTGTCATTGTTCACGTTTAGGGTCCCTCAACCACAGCCAGCGTGTTGCAACTCATACTCATGTGCGATTGTAGATCCTCATACACTGCCTGAAAGTGTTCGAGCTATAGCTACGAATATTCACACTTTTAAACGAATACGCGTTGACTAGTGCAATATATTTTTCGAGCTGCTTCAAGTGAATACCACATTCATATTGCGCCATGTATTTTACTTGTAAACTTAACCTGCCCTAATGAAAACGTGTAAAGCGGTTGCATATCTGCCTCATGCGGTAACATTGTTTTTATTTCTCTTTCTTGATTGTTGATGTTGGTGCAATTAAAAAAAAAACGAATGTTTCTTGCTTCCTTCTAGCTCGCCGTCGGCATTGTCCAGTTTCTGAAGAACATGGGGCCCCTGACCTTCAAAATTTTCATGCACAGAATTTTGACTGGTGAAGAAGTTTAACGACAAGCGTAGCCCTGCTGAACGTCTACAACGGCAACTTCCACACTGGCAAGAATATCATGTGTAAATAAACGCACAGAACTAGTTGTTGTAGACGGGGAAACGACGCACACAAATGCTAGCAACTAGATGACATGATTGGCTACTTTGGAAAGAAAAAATACGGTGCTAGAACAACAAACAACAATATGGTAAGGGTATAGAAAGAGAGAGACAAAAGACAGGGCAAAGATTGTGGTATGCACAGGGGCAAGCTGCTGGCTCACAGTTCATAGACAGCGTCTGAGCAACGCATCTTTGGAAGCACCGGCATGTACAATTTCGTTGTAAGTGTGGGCGATCTTGTTGAGCGTATTCAGTATTGTGCCCATCTCTGCGTCTTATATATATATATATATTTGTATATATATATATATATATATATATATATATATATATATATATATATATATATATATATATATATATATATATATATATATATATAAGAGCGTGGATATATATAATGCTTGTGCGAGTCGGTAGAAATGCACACTTATTTGCTGAACGCGAAACGAACTGGAAGTTTAAATAAATACGACAAAACGCAAACACTAAGCTTTATAAATACAAAGAAAAAGACGGAATGCGTCAAAAATACAAGGCGCGCCAACAAATAAAGACCTGCAAACATATTGCAGACAAAATATATTACTCTCTTGTAGGATATTACTTTGCATTATTTTTGCACTATAGTGCGTTGAGCAGATGCACTGCACGTAAAGTGCTTGGTGCCTCATTCTATCTAGAAGTTGTATCTCATTGTACAATGAAAGGCCGACAGCCATGCATTCCGATGAGGAAGACATGGTTGCGGTATCTAAGAGCAGTGCCGAGCCAAGAAGCGGGGCATCGTAGCTTGTTCGCATCGTGCACGACTCGCGCTCATGAATGCACTACACGTATTCAGATTTGAACTGACGGTACAATAACCAGGAGATACGGGCAGAATAGTGCAAACGAAACGAAGTGATAATAATAATTGTCAGGTTTTTACGTCTCAAAGCCACGAAACGATAATGAGAGACGCCGTAGTGGAGGGCTCTGAAAACTTAGACCACCTGTTTTTTTTCTTTTTTTTTAACGTGCACGTAAATCCAAGCAGGGCCTCAAGCATTTTCGCCCCCATCGAAAATGCGGACGCCGCGGCCGGGATACGAAACGAAGGGAATACCTTCGAGTTACAGGTAAAGCCACGATGTATTCGAGATTGACACAGAAAGGTGATACGTGAACACTATAAGGGGAACAGGAAGAATAGTATATCTAATATGCTACGCCTTCCCTTTGGGGTGGAAAGAGTACAGAAAAGTAACAAGGAATAGAAAACTTGGCTGCTGCAGGAGGTGCAGTGGCGTACGTGTCGTCTGCCGGTGACCACACACTGAATGGTAAAAACATAGCACGCAGAAAGGTATGAATCATTTATTCTTCAAATTACGCATTTTCTGCTAAAACCAACCGGACCCTCTCCCTCACCGCGTTTTCAGCCCCAGCGAGCAACATGACGTAACTTCCCCCCCCCCAAAAAAAGCCATCTTAACGAAGTGAATGATAATGAAGGGCAAGTCCTCTACCATCATATATAAGGTCGCGACCCGTTGTTCTAGGGGTGATTGTATTTATACACCGATATAGACGCAAGATGTAATCATTTACGCCTCGATGCAGTTATAAACAAGGATTACACTACCGATTGGAAAGCTGTGGGAGGCGTTTCCCTTTGAAGATTACAATCTTGTGGTCGGTGAAGTATGTCGCGAGGGGATCTTAAATTAGAGGTTGCGGTTGAAAGTTGGAGAAGGAAATGTCGATACATGTCCCGATTCGAGGTTTTCTTGCCGCCGCTTGCGTGCCGTGCCTCCGCTTCGCGAGCTCTCACCTTGGAGTCCACCTGTCGACGAGCCTTCTTCACCTCACAAGAGTGCACATAATGCCTTCCAGATGTGTATTGAATGCCTCGCTTATCGTCAGCACCATGACATCGTAACATAGTGGGTGCCTCGCAGTGGGTACATTGCACAGTGGGCACATTGCACAGCTGCGCCTGCAGTAATTACATTGCACAGCTGCGCCTCTTTAGCGTACAAGCTTGGTGATCAAGCTCCTAAAAGACAAAAAAAAATACTTTTCAAGCACTCTTATACAAAACGGCTGACACGTCAATTTATTTGACGGTGCTGTAAAAACACTAGCTGATTCAGAAGGCGTTTCCCACAATATTCGATTGTAAAGGGAACCGAGGGAAATTGACAAATGAACAAATATGCGCGCGCACACATATGTAGCACTCGGGGGACTGAACTTGAAGTCAACTGACTTGAACTTACAGTCAGTGTAATACGAGTTAACAAAGCACATTTCACGACATGTAAATAGGCACTCAGCAAGCACGCATGTGCACGTACGCAAACACAGAAAGAAAGAAAGAAAAGAAGAAAGATAACGAGGCACCAAAGTGCACGTCATAAATTAAGACATGCTGTGACTCACAGCATGGATGCGGGAATAACAAAATATTAAGAGAAGCAATAGGAGAATACCTTAAACTTGTACAATTTTAAAACAGTGACAGCGGAAAAATGCAATGGCACTGCACCTTTAGAAATGAATACAGTACTTCCAAACCTTGTGGAAATGGCATGGTTAACTAAGCATTTAACAAAGCAGGATTCCTGCATATGCTACTTCCAGTTGTGTTAGACAACTTAAAAGCCCGCGAAAGGTTGAGCGATGGCTTATACCAGGACGGGAGATTTGGATTAGTGGTGCGGTAAATTATATAATCATCACAATTTGTATTAAAGTGACTGATTTGCATTGGTGATGTATATATTCTCTTAAATTTATGGTTGGAGCTTTAAACAACTCGAAGAGTGTGACAATATTGTCGCGAATGTATGGTTTTATGAAGTATATAACACTGCGACACGAATGAGAATATTAATTGCAGTACGTTCACACTGATGAAAAACACTTTGTACAAAACCTGGTTGCAAAGATTATACTAAGCTGAAAAAAAAATCAAGTGCAGCGAACTACGGTAGTAAATACCAGTTGGAAATAAAGGTGTATCTTATGATAGCTATGACAGAGTAGCTTATGACAGAGTTCAAGTAGCTTATGACATAGTTCCATCCGGTGTGTGACGTCCCCGATTTTACTGCGCAAGCGCCAGCTTTACCCCTTTTTTCACGTCAGGAGAGGAGGTGGGAGGACCCTCTTCTCGTTGGGAAGAGATGGGGTGGAAGAGGTGGCCAAGCGCTGCCTCCATTTCGTTTCCCTTCTCGCTGCGCTTGCTTGCTCCGTAGGGCTTTCCTATATAGCAGCGCTGGGTGTTCACTTTAAGGTACACACATGGTATTACAAAATAATGGGAGGGGTTGACATAAGCGGTAAACAACATATACACAACTTCACACACCAATGAAACACACACGGAAACATGCAGGTGGAAACATAAGTGAACACCAGCGCTGCTTCACGTCCCCTCATGGTTCCCTTTAATGGAAGATGATGTAATTTTTTTTGAAAGTGCTTATGAAATTGGGAATGTAGACGAAATTCATTATAGAGATTGAGTGATTGTTTCAATGAATCCATGAGTACTGTTAAGCCGTAAGTGCTTTTACGGTTCAGACTTTGCTGAAAGCTAGGATTACTGTGCCTGAGAGATGAAGCGGCAATCGTACGCACGGGGCCAAGACCAAGTATTTCAACCTTGTCCCGAATAGAAACCACATATGGTACAAGTTAACGACTCAGAAATGTAGCACAGCATAAGAAGAACCATCAACTTAAAAGTATCACTTCACTGGTTTTCTTCCGCACAAACACTGAGAAGTAGAACAATGCTTAGTTTTGGTGATGCGTAGATAATGCTATAACGTGTGAATTGTTTTGGCCGTGCCACGTAGGTTGGCACCAATTCACGTGTCACCTTCACAATAAGGTTAACGTTTACTGTTCAACTGGGAGGTTAGTTTCTTGCCGCAGAAAGGAGTGTTCAGACAGCAGGTGCCATTGAATATCGCATTCTGCTGACCGCAAACGTGTGTATAGTGCCACGTGTGATCTCAACATTTGAATATTTTGAATACTCATTCGATAATGTGTGCCAACAGCTTTTTGCTTTGAAGATGAGCGGTGTCTCCCACACAGATGTGAGGTGGAAAGAACCTACATTTAGTGATAATGAGAACTGTCAAGAGTTTTGCCTCGCAAAAATACGATATGATTGTGAGGGACGCCGTAGTGGAGGGCTCCGGAAATTCCAACCTCCTGGGGTTTTTTAACACGCTCCGAAACTTAAACACACGATCCTCTAGCGCTCCTCCAATGATACGCAGCCTCCGCGGCCGAGATTCGATCCCGCGACCTTTTGGTATGCATTCGAGCATCACAAGCGTGCGAAAACTGCGGAAGATGTCCTCGACCTCGTGTGACGAGGCTTATACAGGGTGAGATTCTGTAGATGGCCCAGCCTCACCGGTGGGATCGGGACGCGGGCAGTTGATGTAGGTGACGTTCAAACCGAGTCGCTTATTCCTCTGCTTCTTCTCGAGGCTTGCAAGAATATTGGTAATGTCGGTGACGAGCTTCGCGAACGAAGGTCGCTTTTTGGGGTCATCGTGCCAGCACTTGAGCATAATGGCATACCTGGATATACACACACAAAAAGAAAGTAATGATGCCACAATATAAATAAGCTGTTCTGGAAAGTTTTTTTTTCAAAACGACATCGCATCCATAACAGTAACTTAATGACCATGTATCGGCTGAGTAAGGCACTGATAAGGTGCGCCGATCGCCATGCTGTTTTTCAGGGAGGTGCCACACTGATTCACGCGAGTTGGGTGGCCACGCTGAATCACATTCCCATGCATCGTTCCCCCTCACTTCAAAGTGTTTAGACTTTCAGATACCACGAATTATTTTTTCTTATTGACCGTTAACTTCTTGATTGTTGAAAACGGCATATTATAAGCACCCTGAGTGGCCACGGTGTATAGAGGCAACGGGCAGTGGTGACGCTGGAATCGAGACACCGACCTGACGACTGCAGTTAAAACGGCGTGATTGGTGGAAGGCAACCATTATCCGTTTCTCTTGCTTTCTAACAGCTGTGCTATTGTTAGATTACTACGGAGGGAAAGTGAGCGAGTTTACATTTCGTCAGGGCAGAAGCATGGTTGTTTCATCCGACGTCCTTGCTTGAGAAAATCTACGATGTCCCAGTTGTCCACTTCAGGATACGGCGTCACTCCGCGGGTTATCAGTTCCCACAAGAGTACGCCGTACGACCACTGCGAAACAGAAAGGCCGAAAGGCACGTTGGTTACCTTGGTGTGTATTGCTTTTTCGAGATAGGGTTCAAGCCATTGGAAACGCTGTACGTTTCTCTTGTATGAACTTCGCACTCACCACATCAGTCTTGTGATTGTATATTCCTTTCTCCAAGCTCTCTGGTGCCATCCACTTGACAGGCAGCTTAGTCTTCTTGTTATCACCGCTGTAGTAGTCCTTCTCGTAAACGTCGCGAGAGAGTCCAAAGTCGGCGACCCGAACAATAAAATCTTCACTCAGCCTGTAATTAGGACATTAATGAAAAGCAAGTTGCTTTAGCCATTACAGGTAGAATGCTACGATTAAAACTGAACTCAGTCTAACATTGCTCTGGCCCCCCAATGCAATTTAGTACTGAACTTGTCTTGCATAAACCAAGCCAAACCTAACAAGTGCACTCATTGCTCTGAACAATTTTACAAGAAGCATCTCTAGAAGCAACTCTGAGCAACTCTACAAGAAGCAAGAAGCAACTCTGAGCAACTCTACAAGAAGAAGAACGAAATGGGTAGGAGAACGACAATCGCTTCGCACTTCAACGTTATTGGTTGCCTTTTTTTTTGCTTTGCATCGTCAACGTGCTTGCTTGCCCAATTTTCGCGTTGCATTGGCTAAATATTGATTTGGTGGTGCCGTTTCCTATTCTTACTCACATGCAGTTCCGAGCCGCGAGGTCCCTGTGCACGAACTTTGTTTCAGCCAAGTACTTCATACCTTCGGCCACGTGGACTCCAAATGTTATGAGTTGTTTGACTGTTGGTGTCTAGAATGGCAAAAGTGAATACACGGGCTGAAGATATGTTCCATGTATAACTCGAGACTTCAAGGTACGCTTTCTCACAAATCCCTTCACACAAGTGCACACAAGCATGTGTATTCGTGATTATTGCTCACTCTAGCACATCCTTTTTGCAGCATGAAATCGACAATCTCTACTGCAGTGCAAGGGTAAAGTGCTGCAAATCTTCTAAGTTAAAGCATGCACGCTGCAGTAAAATAGTTTTAAGCCTCTATATATCCACTACCATTGAAGGTTTAGTTTTAACATTATAATTGAAATATCACGCCAGTAACATCATTCCTCTTCGGCCAGGCCGTGCGCCATTAAGCCTAACGTTGGGAACAATTTGCAATGATTTCGCGTACATAAAAACTCTCATTGTTTCGGTAAGAATATTGATTGCTTGAAAGATGGTGTACTCCACAAGAACGCATGGTGTTAGAAATGATGGTCTTAAGTATTCTGACTGAATGACAAACACGACTGAACAAGCACCAAAGAATGAAAGACACAGGCACGACAAGTGGTGTCGCCCTTCTTCCAACTTGCTTTAAGTTAAGTCCAAGTGCTTAAAGTCGTAATCAGTGCTGGCCAATTCGATTATTTCCAGTTTCCTTGAGACGTCGCAAGCTCAAGTATTACTCAAGTCCATCCTCTATGAACAGTCGCAACGTCATGGTTTGCAGTAGTATTCTTGTTCTATGAAATTATATTCTACAAAAGGCGCTGCGAAGATTCCCGTAGTTCTTACGCGCAGTAACTACAGCGAAACGGTCCTCAAGCATCGCAACAGCCTTACATTTCTCTCGTCACGTATGTAGGACAACAGGTCGCCGTACTTCATGTAGGGTATTATGACCATGAGGCCGTCGGTCTCGTCGATGCTTAACCCGATGAGTGGAAGCACATTCACGTGGTGAAAGTCTTTCATGATGAGTGCTTCTTCCAGGAACGCCATGCTGTCAACCTCACCACCGCGAGAGCCTGCAGCATGGTATAAGACAGTATTACGTTCAGCCGAAATGGAAATATTGCATATATATACTTTCTGCTTTTGTTGAATAAAAAAAACAAGAATGTGTCAGCGAACGGAGTTTATGCGAGCCACAGGGAAAAATGGTGGACCGCCTTCTGCACTGAATGAACGAAGTGAGTATCTACAAATGACCAGTGTAGCATCCTTATATATATATTTATTTATTGATACTGTGAGCCCCAGTGGGGCCGTTACAGGGTGGTAGACAACAAAAGAAATAACAACAAATATAGAGGAGATAATTGCTGCATTCACGAATTACTATATCTTTCAAAAAAAAAAAAAATCAGGTTCTGCACTTGACTCACCAAAGAGTCGAATGGCAGTGCAAAGCACATATCTGGAAAGAAAGACACTAAAATTTTCAAAGTGACGCTTCTAAGTAGAAAGAAGATGCTGAAGTTTACCTTTACCTTTTAGCGAAAAGCTGAAAGTTTAAGCCTGTTGAAATGGATGTAAAATTCGTTCAGAAAACTTGATACGTTTCACTCAGCCCTTACGAGTGACGGCACAGGACGAGAGAATACAATTCAGACAGAAGCACAACGTGGAATAGCTACTATGAAGTTGGCTGCACACCTAGGTTTTTCCTATAATCATCGTATTCTTCTTGCAGACGTATCTTTCGAATTGAACGGTTTCTCTGACGGAGCTTATTTCGACAATATACACTTCATCGTTTCCAAAATGGGTGATCTAGATGCATGTATGATCGCATATCAGTTAACAAACGTTCGTCATGAATGCAGCTGTGCGCAGTACTTTACCATAGACGCCAAACGTACCAAAATATATTACAAAACAAATGTAGTTTTTTGGCCACTACATATGACAGTGGTATTTAAGATGTGTTTGGTGGATGTGCCCATTCAACGCACTACCAATATGTAAGACAATATGCCCCGCCGCGGTGTTCTAGTGGCTAAGACACTCGGCTGCTGACCCGCAGGTCGCGGGATCGAATCCCGGCTGTGGCGGCTGCATTTCCGAGGGAGGCGGAAATGCTGTAGGCCCGTGTGTTCAGATTTGGGTGCACGTTAAAGAACCCCAGGTGGTCGAAATCTCCGGAGCCCTCCACTACGGCGTCTCTCATAATCATATGGTGGTTTTTGGACATTAAACCCCACATATCAATCAATCATGCAAGACAATATATTGCCACGAGATTGTGACGTCAACGAAGGAAGCAGACAGTGGGTGGAAGATGAAACTGTTTTTTCGGTCGTACCTGTGACCAGCCAACGAAAAGTCAGGATACAGCGATACGCACCGCACTGATAGCGGCGAACAGAGAATCGGCCGTCGGTCAGCTGACAAGTGGCGAAGCGCGTCGGCACTTATACACGCGCCGTCAAATATTCTAGCGTTATCGCTAGCAGCCCCGTAGGTTCTAGAATAATCTGTAATCTTCAGGAAGTGGGTGTTATATTAACAAAATGATCTATTAGAGTCCTGAAGCTTTTCAAACGCTGCAGGTGCAGTTTGCGCAGAGAATTACTGACAGCGCAACAGGGTGATAATGAAAATTCACGAAGGATTGTGACAATATAATAAGAGCAGTTTGCCTACCGTTATGCAGCGTTTTCACGGCGACTGGTTGAACTTGACCTTTGCCTTCCAGCTTCATAGTGCCAAGGTAGACGCAGCCAAAGTGACCTTTTGGAGGACAGAAAGTTTGTATGCGCTTTCAACAGAGCACGAGGGATACAGAGCACGACAACATACAGAGCACGAAGGATTCCATGTTTTACCTCATGCCAGCATGCCTGCTTGCATAAACACGTTGCGGTGTATCATTTAGTAATGTAATGGCAATCAGTCATACAGTATTTCTAGGCAGCAACCATAAACTGTAAGTCCTCCGTCGGTGTGTGCTGAACACATTCTTTCACAACATACATGTTTCCCTGGAGTTATGGCGAAACATGAAGAAGTAACAACAATAAAGCGAAAGTTCAGGAAACCCTACAACATACCATACACTGAATGACGTGTAACAGCTCCTATCCTCTTCCCGCATCGATTTGCGACACTAAGGTTATATTATGCGACTGCAACAATAATTAACTAGAGTGTGGAAGGAAAGCAGTGATGAAATAACCTAGAAATGTCTGGAATACACAACACAGAAAGAAGATACAAAGGCAACGTGACGAATATAAGAAAGTATGAAGTTTCGAAGGCACCAAAAATTGACAAAAAAAAAAGCCCACGTACACAGGCATTAACTTAATCTGCAATGGACGCGAATTATTAACCCGGTTGATTTTTTCGAAGTACATAGGCTACATCCTCTAAGCTACTACAAATGATTTTCATGCTTATTTTTTATGTCGCATTAAAGGCGTTTTATACTGAATGATTTTCAGAAATCACTAAACGCGTCGGAAAAAATTAACCCTGCTCTACACATACTCCATGGGCGTCCGCAGGGGGGTGCAATTTAGGCACTTTCCTCTTTCAGGCCACGCCAGCACTGCCTCTGAATCCCCACTGGGCACTCCTACCCCTCCCTTTCCGCTATGAAACACAGGTTTGCCTCCTGAAGATTACGTGCTGCCATCGCCTATGACAAACACACCTCCACAATGACACACCTTGACCGATAATAGGGCCCAGTTGAAGCATCCTTCGATGAATCAGCAAGTGTTCTCTTTCAAGCATAGCTCTGGTATCGGCGTCGATGTCCAGTGGTACTTCCATCAGTGCTTGTTGGACGTCAGCGTTGCCCTCTCGAACATAGCCTGCACGGAACAAGATATCATAAAAAATGAGAATACTCAGAGTTTGGATTGAATATGACAAAAAAGTCAGGGACGTTATCATTCGTGCATGTGATTAAGTGGTTCAACTATATACAGTTTCTTTTTCTAGAGGCTAGAAAGACGAACTCTTCCTCTACCTCTCTGCACACTATCACAATAAAAGTAACACAAATAAACTTCCAGACAAGTGTTCACGTACACGGCATGCTAATGCATGAAATTTCCCCCGCTGATCACTTATACATCTGCACATACTGCAACGTACCAGACACAATATGTCGTACGGTATGCGGATGCGTACAAATACCCGACACCATAGACTATCAAATAATAAACTAAAAACAGTGAGAAGTCAGGGTATCAGTCCAATAGCCGAAGTAATAGGTAGAACTTGAGCGAATGGGCACAAGAGATAGACATGGCTGCATCTCCTGTGTCCGTTCCTGAAATACGAAGGCAGATTACGTAAGGCGTACACCGAGCTTGCTGAAAGTAAAAGTTCGTTCTCTCTCTCTGCCCGTGAATTTCCTCCCCCCCTAGTGAGGGGTTGCCAAGTGACTACATGCCTTTCATTGAACCTCTTTGCCCTTAATGTCTTAGATGCTCTGCGCTATCGTGTTCTGACTTCGTAATGCTCTATCCACTTTCAGGCCACAGTATTCATGAAACAGGTGTTCCGGCGTCAAGTATACAAGATAATTTACGCTACGAAAATACCTTCTGTTTTTTTCCGGTTTTACATAGAGCCTTCGCGTAGCATCAAATGTACAAAATTTATGACAACCAACAGACAATCAAGCTAAGGACGTAATTTGGGATGTTCATTACGCTATAAGTGTGAATAAATCAAATTGGACGAAAGGTGAACTTGCCGTCCACATGTACCGAACCTGCAACCTCCGAATAACGCTTCCGATGCTCTACCGACTGAACAGCAACAGTGGTAGTTCTCCCGTATACATCATCGGGTATATCTGCGCATTTAAACCTGAGTGTTAATCAGCGCCGCCAGTAGGCACGACGGCCAGCGTCGAACACTCTTCTTTCACCTGCTGGCATCAAGTTGCACGTGACCTAGTTACAAGCTAACAGCTTACCAATAATCCGTCGCGTACTACCAGAAGTTGTAAAGTGTGCCAGAACGAGACCCTCACTTTGAATGAACGAAAGAAGGAGATAAGACAAGTTGTTTTTTCATTCACTTGATTTCACGTTTATGTATCAACGTTCAAACAAATAACGTCTCCCACACTTTCCTTGCCTTCCTTCGGTTGGCTCTTGGTTGCCATAAATGTTATGTCTAACGAAAAAAAAAACGAGTCTTTAAATTCCCGTTTTTTCGTTCGTCGTATGAGCTGCATATAACGGATGGTATACGCAAGCTTTGCCACAGCAAGATGTGCATGCTGGCTGAAGCTCAAAATGCATTTGGGTTTCGGATGTATGAGGCTGAGAAGAAAGTCTGCCGCTACGTAAGGCCTAGTTGTGGAAGCGAACCCGTTTTGTGGAGGAATAATACAAGTTGACTGATTGATTGATTGATTGATTGATTGATATGTGGGGTTTAACGTCCCAAAACCACTATATGATTATGAGAGACGCCGTAGTGGAGGGCTCCGGAAATTTAGACCACCTGGGGTTCTTTAACGTGCACCCAAATCTGAGCACACGGGCCTACAACATTTCTGCCTCCATCGTGAATGCAGCCGCCGCAGCCGGGATTCGAACCCGCGCCCTGCGGGTCAGCAGCCGAGTACCTTAGCCACTAGACCACCGCGGCGGGGCAGGAATAATACAAGTGTGTCAGCCATAAACTTGAGAAGAGACGACAACACTTGAAATAAATAAATAAATAAATAAATAAATAAATAAATAAAAAACGAAGCTCTTCTCCGTCATCTGACTTCCTATACAATTCCCCGTGTCATTACCGCATAACACTCGTTACTTGATATGCCGTCGAAAAAAAAAAGTGTCTGTGACAACTAGCTCGCTTGAGAGACACAAGTGCCCTCACGACTGGATGCTTCAGCCGAGGAGTCAGTCTTATTGTGACGCTTGTCGAGGGTAACGATGCAGTCGGTGCGCCAGGTGCCTCCTTTGTCGCGTTGACGGCGGCGGTGGCGGCGGCACACGATCGATACCACGCCGGCAAGCACCACTGCGACCACGGCAGCCCCCGCTGAGCCGGCGATAGCGTCAATGGGAGGACCTGGCTGCTCAGCGGCCACCAGCTTAACAGCACCAACCGGGTAACTCTGTCCCGCATGCACCACCTGTTCAAACGAAACGAGCGCTTAGAGTTCAGACTGCACATGTGCTCTGAACCACTCTATCACTTTTGAAGAGAGAGGAACAGAGATAAAAACTTATTATTTTTGGCAGATTGTTGGGATAAGTCTCGTCCAGGAGCCAATGGACCTACAAACATTTAGAAAAACTGCAGCGGACGCAGGTACCACATGAGTGCGTCGGTGCACCTATACATGCATCACCGTCGAAAACACTGAAAACTTCCATAGATGCCCAATTCTTTTGCGCCTGGTTGTTTCTGTGACGTCAAACACGTTACAAAGTTTCAGGTCGACGAAATGCCGACGCATGTACATCTCACTGGTTTTTGATTGAAAACTTGTTCTTGGCAAATTTACGCGAATATTCCTTTAGCACTTCTCGGGGAAACGTAACTTCTAGTAGGGGTCGATGACAAAATTTTGATTATTATTATGCATAGCCTTTACATTAGCATCAGCAAAGTGCTAACACTTGCAGGAAAACCACCTAGCCCGACTCTTTCGTACATATGAACAGCAGGACCACCACAGTTTTGTGGGTGGCACTTGTATTTTCGAAGTCTTTAAATTTTTTGGTCTGTCTGTCTCTCCGCTGGTCTGTCTGTGGAACGCTTCATTTTAACCCCTCGTTCAACACCCACCGATCTTGAAATGGCAGCTGCGTTCATACTTGCGAACATTGTCAATCAAAAAGCGAATATTGATTGGTTGATATGTGTGGCTTAACGTTCTAAAACGACCATATGATTATGAAAGATGCCGTAGTGGAGGGCTCTGGAAATTGCGACCACCTGGGGTTCCTTAACGTGCACGCTAATCTTAGCCCACGGGCCTACAGCATTTTCGTCTCCATCGAAAATGCAGCCGCCGCAGCCGGGTCGGCAGCCGAGTACTTTAGCCACTAGACCACCGCGGAGGGGCAAAAAGCAAATATTATGCATATCTAAGGCGCAACATCCGTACGCAAAAGTTAGTCAATGTGTTACTTTATTTAGAAAATGAATAGATAAGCAATTCTAAAAAAATGCAGTGTTTATTACGTTGTGCTGAAAGTGCGGTGCTAGGAATGAAAAAGCGCGTGTTTTCCGCACTTTGATAAAGAAAATCAGAGGCTTAAACTAAAACTAGAATTACTCTATATGCTACCTTCAGGTAGCATACAGGTAGTATATGCTAACCTTGGGTAGTATATGCTACATATAGGTAGCGTATACAATAACATTAACTAAACTGTCCCGGTGGTTCCGCCTACTAGTGGCTTTGCGCTTTGAACACTTCAGTTGTTTTCCCGTTACTGCCATATGACGACATATCTCACGCAGGGCCTCTAGGCAAAAGACCATCTTCTTTCGACGTAATTTTCATTGAAGCACGAAGATACGCGGCCAATGATTTTTTCTATGCGCTCTGTCGGGAAAGATAAACGCTTAAACAAGTAAATTCTCTCGCATTGCCGCTCGCACTGCACTCCTCTGGCTACAGGTGTTGGGGTGGTGTCAAGAAGGTCACGCCTTCCCTCACAGTGCGCGCGCGTTGACGTCACTCTCTCCCGAGCCTGTCGCCGCTCGCCATGTATCAAATTCCTCGCTGCACCCTTTGGACCGCTCGCAATACTCGATTCGCTCGAAGGATTTCAAGCGGGACGGTCGTGCCCCTGCGATCTCCGACGACAGCGTAGCTTCCACCGGTTGGTTCGCCCTCCACGGTCTCCTGACGCCTTGAAGCTCTCGCTGTGTAGTGCCCCCTCCTTGGACGGCTACTGCCAGATCCCAACTCTCCTATCTTCTTCTTCTTCTGTCGCTTGCCTGTCCTACTTCTTCATCTATTTTCCACTATTCTTTTTATCCCTCCTTCCCTCCACCCCTATAAAGCGCTGCGCCTTGTCACCCAAGAAGCAGGCAGAAATAAGGTGCTTTTTTCCTCTTTTCAAGAACCACGCACCACTCATCACGTGTGCATCATCTCACCCACGCCACCTCTCTCCATCTGTCGGCCAGAAGAAACCGCGAGCTGGCGGGTGCGCGCGCTGCGCGTGTTTCGAGATTCTCGCTGTGGCAACAATGTGCACAGCGCGCCACTGCTTGCCGCACGATCGCGCCGACGGGCGGGACGCCATCGCGGCATGCTTCCCGCTAGTGTGCGTGTACCTTTTCCGGCTATTGTTGGCGTTGCGAGGGTTAGCGAAGCCGATCACCTTCGCGAATGACGACCAACGAGGCGCGAGCCAGGGAAGCCGAACGCAAGCGTCGGCAGTGGAAGACTAGCGACACTGGCGAGGTTCGAGTCGAGAACACCTACCGCATTCGTGAGTACAGACAGCGCGCGGGTAACAGCGACGAGACGCGAGCCAAGGAAGCCGAGCGCAAGCGTCTTCAACGCGTCCCGACTCCCGTGTCTTTCCGTTTAAAAAAAAACGTTTGCTAGAGTGAACGCTACACCGAGTTTCGCTTCAAACCATTCTTCCAGCACCCACGTCGACACACGTTTCAACCAGGATAACGCCATGCGCACCCCTGCTACCTCGTACCCCATCAGGTTTCCCTTCAGGAAGATGGTCTATAGGCACAATTCAGTGAAGTTTTCCAGTTAAGGTCCCTGGATGAAACAAGTTTTCAAGGTAGCGACACCCTCCCTTTTCCTCCTCGCTTATTTGCCTGAAGCGCCCCCTAGAAGGTTTAAAACCTTCATCCAAAAGCGAATGTTTGGGTTCTGTTGCTACGGTGAATAGATGTAAATGAAACAAAATGGAACGAAATAAGACGTAGAATAAACAGTTACCTTTATGAACATAAACGGCACAACACAAGAGCAAGTGGGATGTGCGTTACTCAACCGGCAACGTTGGGCAGTTCTATACTTTACACCACTAGCCATGGCGTCTCGCGTAGTACATTTTAGTTCCACGGCCGCGGTATTTCGTCCAGTTCTAACTAGTGCACTTCTCCGATTGTGTCTTGTTCGTGCTGTGACACAGTGGACGTGCTTCTTGCTGGATACAGGGCGTGACGTTGTGACGATTGATTACAACCGGCTTGTGCACACGCAAGAAAAAAAAAACTACGACCAGACTGGTATGAACACTCGTCCAGCAGCACTGCGATGACGTTTTTTTTTAAATGTGCCCATTTGGACAAACGTGATGCCAAGCGATTCTGATGCGGTGCTGGGAACTTCCTGAAAAGTGAGAGTTCTACTGGTGAGGTGTCTCGAAGCAGCGCGTTTCGGCTCAAGCGGGAACTGGCCAAGAGTGAAATGTTTCTGAAGGTGCGTTGATTACAACCTACAGCTGTTGTGTATACGTGCATACCCACATGTATTTGTACTAACTGGCATGCACTAGACACGCATTAGACGCGCGCCTGGCGTTTCAATAAAAACCGACAAGTGAACTCGCTTCGCAGATCCGCGTCGACATACGTTGACGGAGTTGCACGAAAGCATTCGCGTGAAATGATTCATAGTTGCACTTCATGGTGCGCTTCATCTCGGAAAGCACGAGGTAAGTTGAAGAGAGCGAAACCATTTTCTGTTGTTTACGGCAACGCAGCATTGCTGAAAAACGCAGATGTTGCATTGAACGAGCATGGCGAAACAATCTTGGTCGGCTTAGCGCCCACCGAAACGCTCCTCCTCTTCAGTTTATGTTCTGGCTACGATTTTGTCTTTGGTCACGGTGAGAATTCGGCTGGAGCCATATGCGCATGCGTACTCGTTTTGAACCTTTTGCATAATAATAAATAACACCACCAGCAAGATCAAGTGCAAGTAATGCACCAATTACAGACGCGGATATCAGAGAAAAAGAGGAGTAATCGAGAGAGTGAGGAGGACGGCTCGAGAACAATGAGTGACGCTACCTTGTTTCATCTAGGGACCTTATTTCCAGTCTGACTGCAGCGCCAGAATACATAGCCTAGCGGATAAAAAAAGTAACCTTGAGCAACACCACCTAGACTAATATAGTCTAGGTGGTGTTGTCTTGAGACAGCCTTCATGAAAATAGAATGCGACGCGCGCGTTTCGCGCCCTGCACCTTGTTATGCCTGCGAATCCACAGCGAACGTCCATGACTCTGAAAAAGGCAATCTGTGTCAAGGCCAGCCCGCGAGCCAGCCTGACGCGATCAACAACTCAACGGCGTCATCACGCCACGGCGCCTTTCTGGCGCGCACGTGCGGTGAGTCACCTCAGCAAGCGACCCGTCGAGTAAACAACCGGCGTCTTCCTGTCTGGCGGAGAGACGCTCTAGGTGCCGACCAGTGCGGACGCGCGAAGATCGGCTCCTGCTTTCAAGAATGCTTTTCTGTGGTATTCACGAATTGGTCGCCGAGTTTTCAGTCCCATCGTGTGCCTAAGTTCTCAAGAACTCAGCAGATAACATCTTTGTGCTGGTGAGTGGACTTTTAAACAATTTTTGGGGCATTTTTACACGGCAACGCCCCCGGAGGATTTAAGCCTAACAACCAAGGAGGCGATTGTCGCCGATGCGCCGACCCGGCGCCAACGTGACGCAACGCTCTGCGCGTTCCAGAACCTGCAACTGAGAATGGAATACCAAGTAGATGGAGAGGACATCTCTCCAGAGGATTGCATGGAAGAAATGGGTTGGAAGGAAGCCGAAACGAGACGCTCAAGGAATAAGCAAGCCACGGTTAGCGTTTCTGCTGCCAAGGGTTCGGCCAAGGCTGGCGTTGCGGGAGACGCTCGAACCAGTCGTAGTAGGTATGATACCAAGCATACAATCGTGCGAGCTGGATGCATGCAGCCACTAACCAAGGACTTCAGCAAAATTGTGCTACGACCACGTGGAGGATTAAATATCTCGAGAATTGGCACTGCAGCCGTGGCAGACGCGATAGTATTGGCAGCCAGCATCAAAGAGGAGGAGGCCATGCAGGACATCATCTGTTCCAACTTGCAGCAGAACATTATGGTGGCGAGCACTCCGGACCAAGAGAGAGCTTCAAGATACCTCAAAGTCA